ACATCATCACAAGTATAAGAAAGTTTACAGTTATGAAATTTATACCATATAAATATAGGACACTTATATTCATAACTGTTGTGCTTATGATTGTAATTGGCTTTGTGAATTAATTACTCACAAAATGAAGATTTCAACTGGCAATCTACACATCATTTTACCAAGGTATAAGATAACTTTTTATGACTTTGTATGATTTTGATTTATTTGTATTAATTATACATTTAATATTTTAGATAGAACATGTCACATTACTCAGTTGGCATTTCTGGAAGAGGAAGAAAAGTTTCAAGTGAACGTTCTACCAAAGAGGCTGAGAAAGTAACTGGGATAAGTGTAAAAAATGTAAAACTATTCCACTTTGAAAAGGAAAAGGATGCAGTAACAATTTCTGCAGCTATTGACAGCTTACTTAGTTTTTGTAATCAATTTGGTAAAAAATTGATTTTGTTTGGACATAACATCCAGTCATTTGACTGTCCTGTTCTTATGCGTGCTTTACATGCAACAAAATAACAGAATTTTCAGAAGTAGTAAAAACATAATATTTTAGATAGAAAGCATGCAACTTTGAAAAGGAAAAAATAACAAGAATTTTCAGTTTTTGTAATCAATTTGGTAAAAAATTGATGGTGGTTTTGTTGACACTCTGAAACTCTTCAAACTTTTGAAACCTGGATTACCATCTTATCGACACGAAAACCTTTGCGAGTGTCTTTCAGGTATAGTCTACTCTGCACACAATGCTGTAGATGATGTTGTGGCTTTGCAATCACTAGTTCAGAGTTATTTCACATCCAGTGTTCTGGATAGCAATGAAGTCCGAAGGTCATATATCACTGTTCAAAGTGTCAAACACTGGAGTTACAAAATCCAAAAAAATTATTAACAGTTTGAACAATTGCTTTGCACATGCTAATGAGAGCTGAATTTTTCATGACAACATGTATTTCAATGGTGTTAGTTTTGTTACAATTATGTTATGTTGGTTGCAGTAATTTGCCCTTTTTGGAAAAATGTAAATCATATAATCACTTGTTATTTTGCTGTCAGGAGTGTTATATCAGGGGGCGGTAATTGGCCGCTTCGAATTCTGTGTTCAAAATATAATCACTTGTTATTTGTTGTCAGGAGTGTTATATCAGGTGCGGTATAATTGACCGCTCCCAATTCTATGTACAAATTATAATCACTTGTTATTTTGTTGTCAGAAGTGTTATATCGGGGGCAGTAATAGGATGCTCCAAATTCTATGTACAAATTATAATCACTTGTTATTTTGTTGTCAGGAGTGTTATATCAAGGGCAGTAATACTAAGGCCGCTCCAAATTCTATGTACAAATTATTAGCTGTAATTCGCCGCTCTAGATGTTATGTCCATCCTATAATCAATTCTTATTTTGTTGTCAGGTAATATCAGGGGCAGTAATTGGCCGCTTCAAATATCATTTACAGTGTGTAATACCTGATTTTATTTTGTTAAAGGGAGTGTTACATCAGATGCGGTTACTTGATTTGTAATGTATTTTTTATTTTACAGAGAATATATGGCATAATATTTCAATAATATTCTACTAGCAGGGCTTACATATTGTGTTAATTTGAATAAATATTTATAAAAATTATTAAGAAAAGTTTTTTCCCTTAAATTCAGATAATCAAAATTAATAAAACTCTAGTTATATTGTTTGAAGTTTTTTTTCTGTAAAGAAATAGACAGAAAATTTTGACTTTTTTTATGTATTCAGTGACCTTTTACTCTTTTTATTGATTATATTAGTGAGACAAGTGATTATTATACTCGTGAGACAGGATTTTTGATATTTTCACTCGTGCTTCGCACTCGTGAAAATATCAAAAATCCTGTCCCACTCGTGAAATAAATTCCATATTCAACTACAAAACATTGAATATCCTCTATATACATAATGTACTGTGGAATCATCAGTATTCGTTAGGGACCAATATTCATGGATTTTTAGGTAATCCGTACCCACCAATTTACTTCCCATGAACGATTTTTTTATGCCCAAAGAAGAAAGAGCATATTGCTTTGCCGCTGTCTCTTGGTCAGTCGGTCGGTCTGTCTGTTGGCCCATCATCAGTTTCTGTTCATTTTCTTCGCAGAGATTACCCATATTGAAATGAAATTTGGTATACAGATTTATCCTTTGAACATCTATGCCAATATCTGTTTTAAATACGATCAAGCCATTTTTTGACAGATCAATGCACCTTGGACTTAAAAATATTCCAATGATTTGCAGTTTTTGTTCATTTTTTATTTGTAGAGGTTGCACATATTGAAATAAAATTTGGCAAACAGATTAATCATGAGAATATATAGGTCAACTTCTGTTTTGAGTACATGTATGATAGCACCATTTTGGATCTGTTGAGTTATGCCCCTTGGACTTTGAAAAATTCATATCATTTAGGGAAGGGTGTATAAGTGTTTTACAAACATCACTTGTTTGTCAAGGTATTGATTCATTGAGTTTCCTGTTGTGAATAAACAAGTTAACCACAAAAAGACTTCCCCAAAAACCATTAATCCTTGCCTGCGAACACTGACCCTCCACAAATTAGAATTATTCCACTCATTCTTTCAAAGCTTGAACAACATGTAATATCAATTTCAGGACTGTTACTTAATTTAAACATCTCATCATCACAAGTATAAGAAAGTTTACAGTTATGAAATTTATACCATATAAATATAGGACACTTATATTCATAACTGTTGTGCTTATGATTGTAATTGGCTTTGTGAATTAATTACTCACAAAATGAAGATTTCAACTGGCAATCTACACATCATTTTACCAAGGTAAAGATAACTTTTTATGACTTTGTATGATTTTGATTTATTTGTATTAATTATACATTTAATATTTTAGATAGAACATGTCACATTACTCAGTTGGCATTTCTGGAAGAGGAAGAAAAGTTTCAAGTGAACGTTCTACCAAAGAGGCTGAGAAAGTAACTGGGATAAGTGTAAAAAATGTAAAACTATTCCACTTTGAAAAGGAAAAGGATGCAGTAACAATTTCTGCAGCTATTGACAGCTTACATTATTTACTTAGTTTTTGTAATCAATTTGGTAAAAAATTGATTTTGTTTGGACATAACATCCAGTCATTTGACTGTCCTGTTCTTATGCGTGCTTTACAAGCATGCAACAAAATAACAGAATTTTCAGAAGTAGTGGATGGTTTTGTTGACACTCTGAAACTCTTCAAACTTTTGAAACCTGGATTACCATCTTATCGACACGAAAACCTTTGCGAGTGTCTTTCAGGTATAGTCTACTCTGCACACAATGCTGTAGATGATGTTGTGGCTTTGCAATCACTAGTTCAGAGTTATTTCACATCCAGTGTTCTGGATAGCAATGAAGTCCGAAGGTCATATATCACTGTTCAAAGTGTCAAACACTGGAGTTACAAAATCCAAAAAAATTATTAACAGTTTGAACAATTGCTTTGCACATGCTAATGAGAGCTGAATTTTTCATGACAACATGTATTTCAATGGTGTTAGTTTTGTTACAATTATGTTATGTTGGTTGCAGTAATCCTTTTTGGAAAAATGTAAATCATATAATCACTTGTTATTTTGCTGTCAGGAGTGTTATATCAGGGGGCGGTAATTGGCCGCTTCGAATTCTGTGTTCAAAATATAATCACTTGTTATTTGTTGTCAGGAGTGTTATATCAGGTGCGGTATAATTGACCGCTCCCAATTCTATGTACAAATTATAATCACTTGTTATTTTGTTGTCAGAAGTGTTATATCGGGGGCAGTAATAGGATGCTCCAAATTCTATGTACAAATTATAATCACTTGTTATTTTGTTGTCAGGAGTGTTATATCAAGGGCAGTAATACTAAGGCCGCTCCAAATTCTATGTACAAATTATTAGCTGTAATTCGCCGCTCTAGATGTTATGTCCATCCTATAATCAATTCTTATTTTGTTGTCAGGTAATATCAGGGGCAGTAATTGGCCGCTTCAAATATCATTTACAGTGTGTAATACCTGATTTTATTTTGTTAAAGGGAGTGTTACATCAGATGCGGTTACTTGATTTGTAATGTATTTTTTATTTTACAGAGAATATATGGCATAATATTTCAATAATATTCTACTAGCAGGGCTTACATATTGTGTTAATTTGAATAAATATTTATAAAAATTATTAAGAAAAGTTTTTTCCCTTAAATTCAGATAATCAAAATTAATAAAACTCTAGTTATATTGTTTGAAGTTTTTTTTCTGTAAAGAAATAGACAGAAAATTTTGACTTTTTTTATGTATTCAGTGACCTTTTACTCTTTTTATTGATTATATTAGATGAAATACAAACTGACTTAACCATTTATTTAAAAAATATAAAGGTGATTTGTTTATTTATTGGTAAATTTGGTGTGTATATGGATTTAGACTTCAATATAAAGGAAAGACAGAAGAAATTCGGACTAACACTTTTTTTTTACCCAGACCACCAGAATTTTTTTTGTTTATTTGAATCATGATAAAAATCCCTAGGTATATTTGAATTATGAGAAAATTGACAATATTTTATATTTTATTTTTCAAGTTTTAAATTTGGAGGCCATTGGCTTGTGAAAATAACCCCCCTACGGTATTACTGGGCCACATTTAGTGTTTCAAAAGGAGAATGGAAGTTGTATTATAGTTTCGAACTGATTAAGAATACTTGTCGAATTGAAATATATAAAAGCTTTTTATATTTTATTGATTTCAGATCTTTTTGGAGGGATTTAATTATGACATCGATTATTTCATGCAAATTTCAACATTTTAATTCAAGTAAAACAGTACCCCCTTTGGGGCCCCATATCTCCATAATATGCGCCACTTGCATATGCACCAACTACATATTTTAAAACCACAATATTTATGAATTGTAATACACGTGGTTTCTGGAGATTCTCATATTTCAAACCTTCAGGAGCCAACATCCTTAAACATGACAAAGAGCGAATTCACTTATCTACAAAGCATAGTTACTCAGGAACAGCTTCGTACATCAGATGCATTGGCTTCAGTGTTAAAGAAGCATTCTTCGCGTACAAGAAACTTGACCGAAATGTTATCTCAACTGAGTAGTAAAATGACAATTCTGGATTCACGCGTTTATGATCTAGAAGAAGTGAATATTACAACTAAACAGTCTTTGAATACTCTTGCAACTAAAGAACATTACATCGAGAGACAGCTCGTGACTTTGTTGAAAGACTTAAACACAACACTGACCGAACTATTATCTATGCAAAACACAGTTTCTCAAGACCAACTTCGTATATCAGATGAATTGGTTTCACTAATAAACAACTATTCTTCAAATGTAAGGAATGTTTCTGAGATGTTGTTACAATTAAAAAGCCATGTAACAATTCTGGATTCATATGTGTATGATTTCCGAGAAGACGTGAACTCTACAATTAACCGTTCTTTGAAAACAATTGCAGCATTAGAAAGTAACAACGAAAAACAGTTCGAGACTTTGTCAAATGACTTAAAAACAACACAAAACAGACTTAGTTTTCTACAAACCACAATATCCCAGGATCAATTTGGAACATCAAATCAACAGGTTTTACTCACGAAATCGGAATCTACAATTCTAAGGAGCGTTTCTGAAATATCACAACTGAAAAGCTTGACAACAAGTTTGGATTCACGCATTCATGTTTTGGAAAAAGAATATATTTCTAGTAAGTCCCAAATTGTTTTTTTTTTTTTTTGTTTGTTTGTTTGTTTGTTTTTTTTTTTTGTTTTTTTTTTTGTTTTTTAAACCATTTTGGTGTGATATATGAGGGATAATTATAATTTATAGCAAGCTATATTTAAAAAAATTCAGGCGTAAGACTGGTTGATGGGAATTTCACTGGAGAAGGGCGTGTTGAGGTGACATACAATGGCCAGTGGGGGACCGTTTGTGATGACTCTTTCACAGACACAAATGCTCAGGTTGTTTGTCGACAGCTGGGTTATGAATGGTAATGTTGGCCTTATTTTTTATCTAGCTGGGTTATGAATGGTAATTTTGGCCTTATTTTTTTTATCTAGCTGGGTTATGAATGGTAATGTTGGCCTTATTTTTTTTTATCTAGCTGGGTTATGAATGGTAATGTTGGCCTTATTTTTTTTTTATCTAGCAGGGTTATGAATGGTAATGTTAGCCTTATTATTTTTTATCTAGCTGGGTTATGCATGGTAATGTTGGCCTTATTTTTTTATCAAGCTGGGTTATGAATGGTAATGTTGGCCTTATTTTTTTTTATCTAGCTGGGTTATGAATGGTAATGTTGGCCTTATTTCTTTATCAAGCTGGGTTATGAATGGTAATGTTGGCCTTATTTTTTTTATCTATATTGCTGGGTTTTGCATGGTAATGATGGCCTTATTTTTTTATCTAGCCATTGTTGTTAGAAAATCGTACATATCCACCACCATCTTTTCAAATTCTAAAAATATTGTTCAGGAGACAAGCATTTAAGAATGACATCTTTGATTATATTATATAGTGTAGTAAAGAACATTTTAAAAGTTTTAATTTTTAAATGTTAGAAAGTATACAATACAAGCTCAAACTATATAATCATTTATGACTTATACTTCCCCAAACTACTCATGACAGTATCACTGAAATATTCTTAAATCAATCGTGAAATTGTTTCTATAGGAATGGTGCCATTCAAAAACAGAGGGCTCCATATGGACAAGGGACGGGCGCAATAGTTCTAGATAATGTATCTTGCAGAGGAACAGAAAAGTCCATAGCAAGTTGTCAGCATAATGGATTTACAAAGGAAAACTGTGTCCATAGTGAAGATGTTGGTGTGGTTTGCTGTAAGTGTTCTATTTAATTACCTCGTCAAATTCAGATTATTTGTAAAAATAATATTTTTGTGTGAGAGTAAAGATTAGTATATACCCCGTTTTAACAATCAAAATCAGTTGTATTCAATTAATTCCGTTGATCCACATCTAATATGTTTATTTTAAATGTTTATTGTTAGCGCGACTGAAAGCAAAGAGAAAGGTTAAAAGGGGTAAAATTAAGGAAAAATTCTTTACAGACATTCAATAAGTCGATAAGCTTGAATTCAAACCTTGATAAACTTATTTAAAATGTTAAAATACTAGTAAAGAAATTCAATCCATTGATGATTCTTTTTTTAAAAGGGTTCATCTTTTAGCTGATAATCTGCTAGAAAAGGAAAGTTTTCTAGTGGAAAGTTGTCATTCTCTTGTTTTTGACTTGTTAAGATGTATACGTGTTCAAAAAATTTGAATGCTTTTTATTCGTACAAATGCAAAAGTGGCCCACATAAGTCTTTTTTTTAACAAGTTCATGAGAATTTTGTGTGAATTCTTGGCATAAGAAGACAATGAAAAACAAATGAAGTAAAATTTATGTGAAAACATCATATGGGTCATGGGATTTTGATTTAACTTTCGTGTACAATTTTCATGAAGAGTTAACTGTATTTATCGGGCAAGGAAAAAAATCGCATAAAAATTTGAAAAAAAAATTTGAATATCGTATACAAACCAATTCATATGTTATTGTCTTCAAAAAATATAACCATATACTTGATTTTCTCACAATTTTCAAATAAAAAGAAGAAATATATTAATCCCTTGTAAGTCACGATTCCCTATGTACAGTGTATAAATTATCTATCATGCTCTTTTATGTTCATATTATTAAAATAAGAAATTTGATATTTTCTTAATAAGAAATATTGATAAACATTGATCAATTTCTATGCCTCTTTTGGGGATTCTCTAAAATGGTGTAGTTACATAATATCTGTTTCTATTTATTTTAATGTAATTTTGTTTTGATCAAAACTTAATTATAAATCGTTTTTCTTCTGCAAATATGAGCGACTAAAACGTATTAATGTCCCTTTTTGATTTTATTGTTACAGTTAATTACAATATTGTAACAAAAATTTTCGACATCAAAGTTGCAGCCATACCTCATATTGTTTTTTTAAAATATATATGACAGTCTCGGTCCGCCTGACTGGTGGATCCTCATCCAGAGAAGGAACAGTGGTCGTAACACTAGGAAATACCGAGGGGAGTGTCTGTGATGACCACTGGGATACTGATGAAGCTCGTGTGGTTTGTAGGATGCTGGGATATACTGGGTAAAGCCATTTCAGAACTAAAATATGCTAATTTCTGAAGAAAAAAAAAAGAATAAAAAAGAATTTTTGTGTTATTTATCCAAGTCATCGGTGTTCCTAGGAATTAATATGACTTCTCCGTGTTGCCCGATACTCCTGTCGGCCGATCATGTTCTTTCAGCCGACAAGACCAGAACAAATTAATCGTCTGATCATCGGTTTAAATGTGATCCAGACATTAATTGTATACTTTCAAGTATTGTCACTTGTCATTAATGGCTCAGTTTTAGCTCACCTGAGCCGAAGGCTCAAGTGAGCTTTTCTGATCAAAATTTGTCCGTTGTCTGTCGTCATCGTCGTTGTCGTTGTTGTCGTCGCTGTTGTAAACGTTTTACATTTTCATCTTCTTCTCAAGAACCACTGGGCCAATTTCAAGCAAACTTGCCACAAAATATCCTTGGGTGAAGGGGATTCAAGTTTGTTCAAACGAAGGGCCTCGCCCTTTCCCAAGGGGAGATAATTATGAATAAGAGAAA